GGGAATTCGGCCTTAGGGCTTCTACACACAGAACGCATTGATGTGTTGCGCGTGGCGGAAGTCAATACGACGGCCAATAATCTATTGCGACGCGGAATAAAGTTATATCCACAGATGTCTATACTAGTACTAGATCGCTAACTTCGTCAAAAGAGCTGAGGCCGGCAGGATTTCCGGTTTCAGCCATGACAACCTACAACAAAATGGCGACAATGCGTGTGTATGTATATATCTGTACGTGCGTATGCACATGTGATATCCGGCGTGGTGATACAAATTGATAATATTAGGCGGTATTCATAGTCCGTTCTTATATTCAAAATTGTCTTAAGCACGGACTTATATTCGCTCTCTTCGTCACACATAGATTGTGTCTGACAAAGAGAGCGAATATAAGTTCGTGCTTAAGACGATCTTGAATATAAGAACAGACTATGAATACCGGCCATTGTAAAAATTCTTGAAAGATGCCGAGCAGTTGTTGAGCAGTTGTTGAGCAGTTGTTAAGCGGCCATTTTGTTGTAGGGTGTCATGGCCGAAACCGGAAATCCTGCCAGCCTCAGTTTTTCCATACGTCAAAGCCTAAAGTTAGCGATCTAGTACTAGTATAGACATCTGTGTGTGTATTAGATAGGCTATGCCCCTTCCAGTATATATGTTCTAAGGTTGTAGCATAAATGTGGCACCAAAGTACCATGTGACCGTAGTCCCCGCTCCCCGAAAGCGGCTTCACCCCCCGCGGCTTACACTCCATCTTCTTATTGCTATAGGTCTGTTCTTTATAGCTGAACTGGCTGCATTAGTTCAGAGTTTATGAAAGGAGAAAGATAAACTCTGAACTAGTGCAGCCAGTTCAGCTATAAAGAACAGACTTTATGTGTGCAACTAATTCCGAGCGCTGTTTTAGATGGTCACCATGAAGAATAGAGATCAGAAGACCGAACTAGGCTTTCAGAAATGCGACCAAAATCAGGTTCTGAAGTAACACTGGTGGTACTCGATAGGCGGCGTTCGAATCGCAAAACTCCTCACATTATACATATACGCTTGCGTATACATA